TGCAAAGGCTTTTGTGCATGGAAATCAAATATCATAGAATCATAGAATAGTTAGGGTTGCAAAGGACCTTAAGATCATCAAGTTCCAACCCCCCTGCCATGGGCAGAGATACCTCACACTAAACCATGTCACCAAAGGTTCTGTGCAACCTGGCCTTGGACACCGCCAGGGATGGAGTATTCACAGCTTCCTTGGGCAACCCATTCCAGTGCTTCACAACCCTTACAGTAAAGAATTTTTTCCTTATATCCAATCTCAACTTCCCCTGTTTAAGTTTTACCTGTTACCCCTTGTCCTATCACTATAGTCCCTAATGAAGAGTCCTATCCCAGTAACACTATAGCCCCCTTCAGATACTGGAAGGCTGCTATGTGGTCTCCACGCAGCCTTCTCTTCTCCAGGCTGAATAACCCCAACTATCTCAGCCTATCTTCATATGGGAGGTGCTCCAGTCCCCTGATCATTCTTGTGGCCCTCCTCTGGACTTGTTCCAACAGTTCCATGTCCTTTTGATGTTGAGGACACTAGAACTGCACACAATACTCCAAGTGAGGTCTCATGACAGCAGAGTAGAGGGGCAGGATCACCTCCTTCTACCTGCTGGTCATGCTCCTTTTGATGCAGCCCAGGATACGGTTGGTTCTCTGAGTTGTGAGTGCACACTGCTGGCTCATGTTCAGTTCCACATCAGCCAACACCCCTAAGGCTTTCTCCTCAGGGCTGCTCTGAATCTCTTCTCAGCTGCCTTCATTCTAAAAGCTCTTGGTTAAAACATTGTAATTAATGTAAAAACTTTTTTCTTTTTTCCCCTAGAGCCCAGTGTATAGTCACGGTATAGCTAAGCTTTACAAGCACTGTTTAAGTTCTATTTAACACAGTATGTTTTTCAAATTGCATTAATAAATACTATTTAGTAGGATATGATAATAATTTCTCTGAAAAACAATTTAGAACTTCCAAAAATTGGTAATTAAACATGGCTTAAATTTATTCTGTGTGCTGATATACAAACTATCACAAACCTTAGCCACCTCCACACTATTTTTGTGCTCCTGTCTACATTTAATTACATAAATGACTGCATTTTATCTCACCTTTCAAAACTCCATATCTATCAAGGGTACTGTGTATTATACATGACAAGTGATACAGGGTATTTTCATCAAATCCAACAATACTTATTCATAATTACTTTTTAATCATGTAAATGACTTAATAGCATTAGATGACAGTAACTTTATCTCGTCTTGCTGAAAAATACATTATGTGCAAGAAACTATTCAAGTGAGTTAGAACTGAAGGAGCTCTTGACTCTCATTTCTAGAGCTGAGAGGTTTGCAGTTTTGGTAAAAGAATAGTGTCAAAAGCTCATCAGTTCCTTAGAGACAGAAAGCCAGAAGGAAATTAAATTATTAATCTGTGGCTAGCACACTAGGTCTGATGAAATACTTCAGTTGTGATCGTTTCTTATTTCCATCTAGCTCCAAGTGAGCCAAATCATCCCTGATTCTCACCTTCTGGTTGTTAATTGACAGTATTTGGTGAGCTTGTCAGTACTTTTTGCTTTACCTGGATTTTTTGTTAGAGCTGGGCAGTCAACCAAAACTGGAATGTTTACTAAAACTTTTATTGTTGTATACACTTACACCACAAAAAAAAAGTAGTCACGTATTCATTGGAAGCTTTAACTTTGGGGCTGCTGGGGACCTCAGGGTGCCAATGGTCTTTGTCTGCAGGGCAGTGTTGCTTTGTGATGTACCCTACAGTATGGAAGCTGGAGAACTTGGCTTGACACATTTGTCTGTGCTTTTATGTTCAGGCTTCTCTGATAGAGTACTTCCTTTACTTTTACGGCTTCTTAGGTCCAGTCGCCAAACCTCAGTTTTGGTGATAGTTTAGGGAAATGGAATAATCAGTTGTTCCATTTCATCTCACAATCAAAGTTTTGGGTAGAAATATATTATTTTTCCTAGCCTATGTATAATAGTGTTTTATCTATGCAAGGTGCTGATGTTTGCAACTAGTCGAGTTTAGGGCACAGAAAAATGTCAGCTTTTATTGTTATACAATGCAAAGCTTTCACTGTCCTCAAACAAAAATATTGTTAACATTTAAATTGAAAAAAAAAAAAATAAATTTGACACCTTAATTCCCTTAACTGCTGAAATGATCCTGTTGTAAAATAGTGCCCTGAGAACAGCTGCTTAATTTTCAGGCAGATAATATTTTCGAAAAGGGATCCTACCTAGCAGGCAAAACCATAGTTTCTATTCTTTGTTACTAGGAATCACAGTCACAAAGACTTCCTTGTTAATGGATACTCACTATCTCACAGGAAAAAAAAGATCGCTAAACAGTGGGGTAGGTAAACATCATTAGTAAAACTTGAGTGCTGCTGAATAACAGGTGGAAGAAATGGGAAGAACATATGAAGACAAATCAGGAAGAGAGAACAGAATGAACAGAGAAGTGGCAATAATCTTTACTTACACTGACTTTTCCTGAATAATTCTCCTTCTTACTGCTTGTTCATTCTTGAAGGGAAGCTTGACAGCAACATCTAGAGCCAGGATTAAAGACTGAGTACATTATGCTGTTCTCCAGCTAATCAGTGCAGTAGAGGACATTATACTCAGTCTCATTCTTTTAGTGCTTGTTCAGGAAATGAAGGAAGTAGGTTAGTGTCAGACATGTAGGGAGTGTTTGGAACTCTTTCATGGTTTTAAAAGAGAGTAGCTTTAAGGAAAGTCTTAAAGAAACTCTTTTTTTGACCCTGGATTGTAATCTATGCTAAATCTGTGTTAGCAGAAAGTCAGAGCCATGTAGAAAGCATTATTAACCTTTGTAAAACAAGCCAGAATAGCTGCTAAGACTGGAGGTTTAATGATTATTTTTGCAGGGACTTGCCAAATCAAGGTAAACACATTCTTAGAAGTCACAGATCCCATGGTTTTACTTTTGTTAATTGAGTACTTATTTTTATCCTTGTGAAAAGTTGCCATAGACACACTGTTACCATGACATTTTGTCCATTTCTGCTCCAGGCAATATAAGGACTTTCTGTGCTGTTCTTTTGCCATAACAAGAAACTCTGAAAGCCTAGCTGGGTTGGACACATTAAGTGGTACCATTTAGTGAGATCCTTTCCTGAATGAGTGGAATCTCTGGCTTTATTTTCCTTACCTTCATCCTCAGTGCAGGAATCCTGTGCTGACTCACAGACACTTATGCCAGTTGGTTTAGGTTTTATGCCTGAGGCACAGAAGCTGCCCATTTCCAAAGCTTCGGAGATATTTGAGATCAGTGTCTTTAACAATGCATCTTGTTTTAGAATCATCTGTATACCACTTCATATTTCCATTTTGTTTCTAGCACACCAATTTTACAGCTACTAATTTCCTCTCTGGGTAGCCAGGATATTGCTTATTCTGCAAGGAATTGTGGCCAGATTTTATCTTTATCTCTTCTGTGGTAATGGGATAAAACAAGCACCTTTTTTGACTGAAATTTTGAAGGACATTTTCTCTCTTGCAGATTAGCTGTGGTACCAGTGGCATCACAGATTAGCTAGTGCTCCACCCCTGATCCTGTCTCCAGACTACTTTACACAGCATGTCAATGTTAGAGCTATAGAAAATATTTGTGACTAGAAATGTATTACAAAAGGGGTCTGCCTGCCTTGATGGAGAAGATCTATTCTTCTTCAAAGAAGTTTCAGTGATCTTAGGAAAGCAGTAAGATTATTTTTTTTCCTTATTACTGAATAATCGTTTATTCTTGGTGGAAACTCAGATTTCTGAGATATTATATTCTTTGACCTGCCTGTATATTTAAATATCAAATTCAAAAACTACGTTCAAGAAGAAAATGTATGTTCAAAACATGACACAGAATTACAGGAGACCAGGAAGGAGCATGCAATGCATACTAGTGAGTTTTATTTGACACTCTTGTGCTTTTCCAGATGTGGCATGTAATATGGATTTCTCTTCATTGTCATGTAGTAGCGTCAAGTATTTTGTTAAGTGTTCTGTGACACAGAAAAAGACATTGTATAACTTGCCTTTAGCCATGTAACATGCATGTTGTGCATGTAAAATATGCGCTCATAATAGGTCAGGCAACTGTGTGGCATAAAGCTTTCTGAGTTGTAGTTTGAGTTGGACATCTTTTTTTATACTTTAGAAAGATTATTGGTTTAGAAACATTCATTCCTATAATGTGCCTGTAAAACTGCTTTAAGAATCATATTAACAAAATGAATGGGGTTATGTTAGAAGATCTGTAGTATGTCAGAAATCTTGTAAAATTTAAATCAGCTTGAATTTTGGGCTTGTTTTCTTTTGCTTCAACTGTTAAGCCTAAATCCTGTTTGCATACATGCATGCATTTTTCTTTTTGATTTCTTTTTTTATAACAATTGAATCGTTATACTGCACTCCACATAATTCTAATTAAATATTGATCACTGCTCTTGCCTTACATTTTCATTGTAAAAATACCTTGATTTAATGAATACCAACAGCATCATAATCATTACCTAAAATGGAACTAGTTTCATAAATACACTAATTCATATTTTAAGACAAGCAATGTCCATATGGAAAACTCAGGCAGATGTGAATTTTACTGTGTAAATCCCTCACACAATGCACATCCCTTGATTTGAAATCTAAGGTACTTCAAATGTACTGTGAAGCTGGAGAAATAATACAACAGCTAAAATCTGAAGGTTTAAGATTTCCTCTGCTTCACCCCATTGAGCTTTGTATAATAAGTAATTGTAAGTAATGGAAAATGCCTTTTCACTAGTGCAGTTCATAAAGTCAAAACTTTTCTTGATTAATATTCTCTTGAAGAAATCAGGTACTGCTATGGATTTATGCTACGGATGTGTTTTGGTGCTTGTAATTTCTTTTGTACTAAAGATACAGCTGATAAGGATTTTATTTAATAATGATAATTGTTGTTGAAGGGTTTGGATGTTTAATATTCCTTAGGTATCTCTACTGATGAATCTAAAAAATGTGAGAATCTCTGATACTTGACGATGACCTTCAGTGATATTACAGGGATTTATGCAAGTGTTATTCAGGTAAGTGGTGCAAGGAATATGGCATTTCATTTTTGTCATGTTGATACAGCATATAAAGATAAGGCTTGCAGATGGTGTGTACCGTGGGCAACTCTGCAAATCTAAGTTTTCTTTTAGACTGCTAATGATTAACACAGCTAGTAGATGGCACCCTTTAAAATCCATATAAATCTTATTTCAAAGTATTTTGGAAGCATTTCAATATTCTGGTGTCATTTTGCCAATAGTCAGTTAACTGTCACACCAGTTAAAATTAATGTAAATTATTAAAGTAGCAAGCACTGCACATGCATCAACTGCAGAACATATTGACTGTATCTATACAAGTTAAACTTGACACTTTCTTGGGCACTGAGATCAGCTGCTAAGAAATGGCACCTGCCTATGATAGCTTCCAGAACAGAGAGTGCATGCAGTCTGTCTGCTGGGAATGGTCCCTGCGATACGGTCCATGTCCAGGACTGATTTGGGAGAATGCTAGCAGGATCCCAGTCTAGAACTGTGCCAAGGTCTAATTAAAAAAAATGATGGCATAAATTATAGTCTCCCAGTACCAGGAGATGTTCTGCAACACTGTCTAATATTTTTTTAAATGTGGCCTTTCCATCCCATTTATTTCTGGACAGATTGCTAGTTTGAGCATGACTTCTAGGATTGTTAGCAAATACATGAAAGGTTTTCTGAAAAGAAAAAGAGAACATGTATGATTCATGAAATTCAGTAACTCATGAGGAGAGAATAAGGTGACATAAAGGAGAAGAAGGTCAGTCAGAACGTATGTATCTGGACCTACACAACAAGTATATAAATTCTTGTGTATGCCAACACAGTTTTGAGTACCAGAAGAAAAGAGTTCTACAAATGCAAGGCGAGACGCTCCTCTAGAAAACTTTCTTGTCTTCATGCATTTTAGCAGCTTCATTTGCATCAGAGTGCAGGTCCTGAAGAACAACTCCATTTTCTGTTGGTGATTAACTCCTCCACTTCCAATGTCAAATTATTTTCACTTATGTGGAATATTCCAAAAATGTGAAGACATTTTCATGCTCACAGAAGCCCTATGAATTTAGATACTACACGACAAGCCAGTTATGTGTACTGACTTCCTCAAACAGGGCAAGAAGAAGGACCCAATCCTCATGCATGAACCATCAGTGTCAGAGTTAAAATCTGTTAAACACCGATTTTCCCTGAAAATATTACTCTGCTGTTTTCTTAAAGAGACATCAAATATCTATTGCGGATGGTTGCCCAATAACTGCAAGGTCTTGAAAGACCATTGAAATCAACAGGAGATTTAAAGTCTCATGGAATTTCTGACAATCTGTGTACTACCGTTTCCACTGATCTTTTGTATCAAATGTAAGACATTCACAGCAGTTTAAGAGGTGGCACTTTGGAGCTATACATGTTCATTATCTTAGAATGTTTGTTTTCCCCACTCCAGTGTCTTTCTTATGAGGATCTGAACTCTTTAGGTACTATTTTGTATTCCAAGAACTCTAATTCTCTTTTAATTCCTCAGTGGTCATATCCTCAACTATGCTTACATTTAGCTTTTTTCTTTCCAATGTCATTTCATCAGTGAATAAAGTTTGGTTGATGCTGGCAGTGAGATTTATTAACTGATTCAGCAACATATTTCTATTTTTCCATTTTTTCCCCCAAAACAATTTCTTCTTAATATTTCAAACAGAATAATGCATTGTGAGCTGATCAAAACTTTGATCCCGATCTCATCCCTAATCACTTTGGCACGAATTTAACATAATTTTTTCCTTACCAGGCAGACAAGGATAAAATCTCATGTTCATTCATCTTTCTTAAAAGATGAATGAATAAGACAGTCTTTAAAAGCTTTTTAAAGAGCGAAGTGCTGGAACTGCATTCTCAATCTGCATTCTTTCCTGCTGTTTTATGGGATGCATTGAAAATGTGCTTTTCAGAGGTCAGACCATTTTTCCAGGTTTCAAAAGGGATGTAAGCTATAAATTAAAAGGCTTGTAGGATACATTCAAGAACTAGTACATTCCAGCTTCAGACATCCTATTCCCTTGAAAATTGTGACTCATAAAAGCAAGAATTTTGTCTCATTTCTAGAACTCCAGCTAGCTTAACTCATCCATTTGTGGATATGACTTAGCCATTTATAATAAAATAAAATAACATTAAACCCAAACCCTTCTTGGTTCTGTTAACTCAGAAAAGACAAGTGCAACCTGCTGGAATAGAATATAAATCAAGGAGATTTTACCTCATTGTAACTACCTATAGAAGCTTTGTGACATACCTTCATTTTTTATTCTCTTCTTAAATTAGCAGCTAACAGATGTATGACATTTTCTAATCAGCTGCCTACTGTCATTTTTATGTGAGAAAATAATATTATAAAAAATAAGCTAAAGAATTCCTTGGAAGTATTCTGAAAAATACACAGTAACAAGGAAGAATACTCAGCATAATCAAACAAGCATGTCCAGCACGATGGGAAAAGTGCTTATTGAAATACTAGGTCTTGAAAATTGCCTGACTTTCCTGGGGGAACTCCCACTTTGGTAGTGTTCTCAGGTGAAGAAAAGAGACTCAGGGATATGTGCTTCATACCCTATCTCCTTAATAAGTGCCAATCTGAGTATATTTTTCTAAGCTTATGGCAAAGGATCCTGAACTTTTGTTGTTAAAATTAAATTAACAGAATCAGACAGGTTAGGTTTAAAATTACTTCTTTGTGGACATTAAGCAATGTTAGAGAAACAGTGAGATTATGCCAAGTAACATTATCTTGAGCCTGTCACCTCCTTTTTCCTCTACTGCACAAGCTGCTCTTTCAGCAGACAATCTTGTACAATATATATAGTATTGGGATTTGAATTACAGTGTAATGTAAGATTACATTTGGCACTTGGATTAAGGCCTTTGCTTCCAATTCTCCTTTGGTTTGCTGTAAAAAACTAATAAGTATGTGTCAGATCCTTTTCTCTTTTGCAGAGGTTTGTGACAGGGATAAACCATATTCTCCTATTATTCTTGTTAGCTGAAGGCTCAGTGATCAGGTGCTGTACAGTTTCCATCATTTATTCAGCACTGTATTACCTTCAGTTGTATCTTGATTGATTTAAAGTTACTTTAACATTTGTACTCCACAGAGATTAAAACATTTCCATCTGACTTCCTAAGACTTTCTCTTGAGTACGACAGTACAGCCGTGGTATTCTGGAGGGATATGGAAGAAAAGTCAACTGCTAACTCATTAAACAGGATGGGGTTTTGAGCAACCTGGTCCAGTGGAAGGCATCATTGCCCATGGCAGGGGGTTTGGAACTAGGTGATCTTTAAGTTCCCTTCCAACCCAAACCACTCTATGATTCTATGAGTTGATGACTTAGCCAGAAAGTATATATCAGCAAGCAGGACCAATTCATAGTCAACTGTTGCTTGAGAGTTGCAATACGTAAACTTTACATATACACAGTTTTACTATTTTTGAACTGTACAGATGCTGAGTTCATTCATTTGTGGGTGCTTAAGAGCACTTTGACATGGCTGATCAGCTAAGTACCACGTGAATAGAATTTAGAAAGCGTAACAAAGTTAGTTTTCAATGAGCATTAGTTGTCTATAGTGCATAGTCAGCTTCTGAACTAATAATGACAGATTCTGTATGTGATGACTGTAATATTGTAGGCAATTCTATGGTGGGATTAATCTCATTTTGACTAAACTAAACTGACATAGTTCAGATGAATCATGCCACAAAAGTGTCTCCTTCTCTCCATTAACTGCACAGGGAATCTAAACAAATATCTCAGATGATAACATCAGAAGTCTGTTAAGATGAAACCGATCTTTTCATATTCTTCCCTCTACCTCCCTGGGGAGTAAACATTGGGTGTATTCTCAGAGCATGCATAGCAGACTGAAAAGACTGGCTATTGCATAAATGCAGCTAAGGCTGCCACTTGCTTTGAAATAAAGGTCTAGTTGGTGTCTTGTGTCACATTTCATAACAGCCTAGTACCCACGGTAATCAACAGTGGACATTCAGTTGATTGAGATAGCTCCAGTGATGCTGTCCTCTAAATGTACTGTGCAATGCAAGATCATTAAGCAAGGTAGAAATGGAGACAGAAGACAGCAAGACTGTGTCATACTGGTGAGAGGGAAACTTGCAGCACTTCTGTGATATCTCTTTTTTCCTCTGCTGACACATGATGTTTGATATGCCCAATGGTGAATAACTTAAGGTTTTCACGGCTGATGGATTTAATTTTAAATCCATCATTAATTATTTTAAGGGCTAAGCTTGCCAGTTTGTCAGTTATACGTATGCTGAAACAATTGTTTTGCACTACTGAAAACTGTAATTTCTCTGTTCCTATTATTATTGTTATTAAGCTTATAAAGGTATTTCAAACCACTGATGGCATACAGTGAATCACATCTGGTTTTTGTTGTATGATGAAAAATTATTGTTTCCTACTAGAAGCTAAAGCAAGTCATATTTTTAGAATGAAAAAGTGAAAAATTAAGGATTGAATGATATGATGTTACAGCTTTGGGCTGTCCTACTTGCAGTTAGGAAAGAACTGGTGAACTAGTTTAACTTCATGATGTGTGTTATCATCACACATAATAAGATCTGGCTCTTCTGCTACTGTACATCAATGGAACATCGCTTTGCTCTCTTTTCCCTGAATAATTGCATACTGAAAGTAGGATAGCATATAGTAACTACTATCATAATGCCAATACAGTTTCCTGAAGTCTTTTTCATTATCTTGTTTTTTATAGATGTTAGTCATTTTGACAAAGAAGTAAATCCCTTAAATGGTTTTATCCTTTCCATAGGTAGTTATTAAATCAATAGATGTTCACAGGCAATGGAGGATTGTTGATCCATGGTTCTGACTGAAGAAAGACCATGCAAAATAAACCAAGAAACATCAGAGATGCTCTAAAGGACAGACAAACCCTTACATATGTTGGTTTTAATTTGCTAGTTTAGTTGTTGTTAGCAGTGTGATTTTTCAGGTAGAAGCAGGTTAAAATGAAATGCACAGAACTATAAGGTGCCTATGGATAGGTCAGCACTGATGGGTATAAACTGGTGTCATTCTTTACATCTAGTGGATTGAAAACTCCACTACCTTATTGCCTGTCTTTAAATACTTTGTTACATGTGATGTTTTCTGCTTTTTCAAACCCTAATTCTGGGTTTGGTTAAAGCTTCTGCATGCCAGTTGTGCTGGCAGGTAGATGGTTGTTAGACAGTGTTATTCCTCAGCAATACCTCTGCTATAAACTCAGTAAGGCTGATCTCAGATTTAGATATCTACATCACAGACATCTACCTTTGAGACCATCACTATTCATAGGACACATTGCTGTTTGACTTTAGATGTCTTCCAGAAGGATGATTTGCACATTTAAAGTGCTTATTTCTACCTGTAGACTATGTGGGTTTAGGAGCTTCAATAAGGACTTCTGCTTAGTAAAAATTTACTTTTATACTGATGAAGCTTCCTCAGTGGGTTATTAGACCATTCTGGGGTGGCTTGGAGGCTCATAGGGAACTGCTGCCAGGAACTGATACCCTAGAAACTGATTACCTAGATAGCATTAACAGGAAGGAGAAGCAAAGGCTGGATTAAACATTGAACTTAGTCCAGAAGAGTGGCAGAAATTAAAAATTAAAAATAAAAAAGTCAGCTTGTTATTTCCTTCACCAAAACCACTTCAGGGCTTTGGCCTAACTGGGTTACGTCTATACCAGTAAATAAAGCCATTTCAGGAAAATATTCCTAAGTACAGAAACTTGACTATCTTCATGCGGTTCTCTAATGCAGACCTCTTCATTAAGAATAAGTCTTGCCATAGTTTTGGCCTGTGCTGACAGTTTTTAGATAAGGGGAGTCACAACCCCAGGACCCAAACTCCAAAAATGTTTGGATATGGTTATCTTGTTTTGGAGAACAGGCGAGTTTAATGATGTGGTTGTGGACTATTTCATGCCACTTGCCCCCAGTGAAAGAGAACATTTCTGATCATATTTAATTTACTAATATTGATGCATCTAGAGTGGATGCATGTATTAGTTCCTGATAAAGTTAAATTGACTGCATTTTTTTAAGCTTTCCAGAAAGTTAACTCCAACTCTTCTGTACTGTAGAAGCATTCTGTATTTACTGTCATTAGAATGATGGCATATTTGATTATTCTTCTCATTTGTGTGTACTTTGGCTGTTACCCAAACTGCCAGTAGCTAGTTTTTCCTGTGAACCTGGAGAATAGCAAGTGCATCTCAAAATTAACACTAATCTGTAATTAAAATAGTATCCACAGATAGGAAAAGTTGTTTGAAAAAAAACCCAAACAGTCATGTTGTTATGGCCACACTCAGTTTCTCATGTTATAGCACAAGTTACTTTTTCTATTACTGCCCGTCATTCTTTTGCACAGGTTGGTTTTGGTTTTTTTTCCTTCATGTTTAACCCTTAGAGCCTTCCTTCATCAAAAAGGGAAATGCAGTCCTTTGCAACCACAAATCCGTCAAAATTCATTACCACTGTACCTATAAAACTGTAACCTCTGGGAAATTATTTCAACAAAAC